GGGGGGACTGTGGAGATGTGATTGGAGAAGGGGGGGACTGAGGATATGTGATTGGAGAAGGAGGTCTTTAGATATGTGATTGGAGAAGGAGGGGCTGCAGAGATGTGATTGGAGAAGGGGAACTGAAGACATGTGATTGGAGAAGGTGGTCTTTAGATATGTGATTGGAGAAGGGGGGGCTGCAGAGATGTGATTGGATAAGGTGGGACTGAGGACATGTGATTGGAAAAGGGGGACTGAGGACATGTAATTGGAGAAGGGGGTCTTTAGATATGTGATTGGAGAAGGAGGGGCGGCTGCAGAGATGGGAAGGGACCATGATTTGAGAGGGCTGGGGAAAGGTGATGAGAGGTGATGGAAGGGGTGCTGGAGTTGGGGGAGAGGTGCAGGGGGGACGGTGGTGATGGGAGAGTCCAGGGGGCATATGAAGATAGTGGAAAGAACAGGGGGCATGAGAGAGATGGGGGAGAAAACAGGCATATCTCCTAAACCTACAGGGGTCATTTATAGCTTTAAGAGATATGTGTCTTCAATCTATAGAAAATAAAAATTAACCCCTCCCCATTTATTTAAGTGTAATAATTATCTAAAATGCTTTGACATACATCCTAATATTTAGGAAAATCTACTGCTATTTTTAAGAAGATCTCCAGAGTTGTTCTGACTTCTTAAGCCTGTACTATAAATAACGGGGTATATGAGTGTGTGCATGCATGAGTAAATGACTTTGCATTTTTGTATGTGTGTACATATGAGTGTATGTATACGTGCATATGTAAGATGGGGCCTCATGTTTATTTTTTGCCTAAGGCCTCACAAAGTCTAGAGCCGGCAGTGAGGACCCAGCAAACAAAACACACACAGGAATTCAGCTGAAGACAGAAGAGGTGAGGGGGGTAAATAAATCATTAAAATAATTCGTATTTGTAGCCTAATGTTCTATAAAGTACTGTTGCAGCAATGCAGAATGGCACCCTCTATAGAGGACTACAAAGCTCAGCAGTACTTTAAACAGAAATGCTATTGTTATATAAAGTATTGCTGGGATGTGTAGTTCTCTATAGCCTGTGCCATTCTGCATTGCTGCAAATAGTAGGGATGTACCGATATATCGGCCACCAAAACATATCGGCCGAAAATGGCACTTTTAGTTAAATGCCGAAATTGCCATTTTCCTGCCGATACAGCAACGCATCCCTTCTTTCTTTCCTCCCCGCATTAGGTCCGCCACTGAGTGTACGTGATCTTTTGTGATGGTGTAGAGAAAACAAACGTCGGAGCTTTTATTGTATTGGAACAATCATTTGATGTGTACATAGGGCCCCTCATGTGACTTTTCTATAGTGGTGAATCCTCCATCTCATTCTTCATTAGATCTCATTCACCTCACTGAGTCACAGGTTTCATTTTGTCTTCTTTTTCTTTCCATGAATACAAATCATCGACAGAGACCAAAGATGTTCACATTGAAGAAGTCCCTGTTCCTGGTTTTCTTTCTGGGGATGGTCTCCTTATCTCTCTGCAGGCCTGAGTAAGTATGTGTGAGCTGAACTCCGGGCAAATAACGAAACACATATATGGGAGTATTTTACCTACCAAAGAATTTGTATCTCTGCCCATCCAGCCCAGATTCAAACAACTCTGCCCTACAGACAAGCCCTACCCACCGGTGCTGAAAACTTCATTTTTCTCTGCTGTAGTTTGGTAAAACTTACTTGTCCCTCTGCCAGTATCTGACTGGACAGTGAAAGGAGAAGCAGAAGACTGATTAGCTCATCTCTCTGTCTCTCTTCCTATCAGCATGCTGCTTGCACTGCAGCACAACTGATTTAATAATGTATTGATCATTACAGAGCTGCTTTAATATATGTCCTTTATATGTGGTTGGAGTTCAGGTTTACACAGGTTACACATCATCTCATAGATGTCCATGATCATAAAACCATGTTCATATTACAGGACAGGAAGTGAGGGGAGAATCTCTTCAACAATAAAAACCTGACACAATATCTAACCCTTTACAGTTCCAACCAAACCAAAAGTCAAAATTTCACCTTTTGAGGAGACTCTGTCACCAACGTACAATATCTCGGTAAAAGCTCAGACAATATCGAGTATTTTAGATGCTGACCTGCTGTGCTTTTTCCATAAATTATTTGTTATTGACTTGTAATGTTCCTTTAAATATGCTGGAAAATCTGACTACTCCAGGAAGAGTCAAATCCTTAGTACAGCCCCTTCCCCCCTTGCATGTGTGCTGTGCTGGCTCAGCCACTCCATCCCTCCCCTCACCATTCTACTGTCAGAATGTTTATACTGCTCTGATATACAGTACTGTTTATGGAAACAAATGAGGATCTATAATTAAGGAGATTCCCAACGTATTTCCATAAATCAAAATTTATACAAGTTCTTTCATTTGCGCTGACTTTGAAGACAAGAGGAATAGAAAAGTATACAAAATATAGATATTTATTAATTAAAAAGCAGTGCAAAATAATAATAAAATATAATTGGTGACAAACAAAGAATATGGATCAGATAATAACAATTAATTTGATATCACGGGTAATGCATAAAAATGTAACCACAGGATATTGTTCAAAATATAAATGTAACCAAGATAAAACAACTTTTTAAATGTAATGGGTGTCTTTTCAGTATCTGACAGAATAAGAAAACAAAAGGCTCAGAATTGACATGTGACTTCTCCCAGCACAGATATTCACAAGCTCTAACTTTCACAGCGCATGGGCGATATTTATCCCATCATGCACAGGGCTGGCAATAAGCCCAGACCATTCAAAGTAGAGAAAAATTACCACCAGTTTAATTCAATATATATCAGACTAGACCATTGACTAGAAACTGAAATCAGTTTCCTGGAGATTATACAAATGTATATAATTATCTCCCAAAATTGAAAGACACAATTTTTACTGCAGTTAAAAATTATCTCAAATCAATTTAGATTCTACAAGAACTCAATGGTTTACCCGAATATATATATATGTGGCTAGTGAATTGCCTAATATACAGATAGAAAGTATACTTTATCAGCAATTTAAATTTAGTTGTTTGAAAGAAGTCAGCAGTCAATACTCATCAACCAGGAATGGTCTCTTTAGTTCAGTTTCCTTGGAAAGCCGTCCTCAGCTTCTGACCTATACCCTTGGAATGTATTTGCTTACTGCCTTGTCTTGTTCGACTCTCTCTGATGATGGAATTCCCCTTGGTGTTGGAATCTCTCCCTATATCCCCCCCTGTGATGTGGGCTTGGTTTAGTGTTCCACGTGATGATTGACATGAAGTATAACGTCATTCTGTCCTTTTTAGCATATACCTTCCCCTCACAATCACCACCCGGGGGCACTATTGTTCTATGTAAAAATTGGGAGCATTTCATTTAATTTCACTAATTTCTAAAGATAAGGCAGTGATATGACCTTTGACCGAAGTCCTTGGACAAAACCATGAATATAAACTTTTGACAATACTTGATTACATAGTGTCAGACTTTCGGTCTGTTTCTTCAATTTACAGCTTAGAGAAGATCTACCCTAAAGCCATTAACATTCTTTCTCAATTCCTTAAAATTGAGGTAATGAGTCTCAAGACACATTGGTTTCTAACACATTAAAATAAAATAAAATACATTGGCGTGTACCACCCAACACTTTGCACTTAAAATATAAAAACCCCATTATTAATAATACACACTAATATATTTCAATGGGTACACTAAAACAATATATAATGAATATAGTTTGGATATATAAAAGTACATGTATAAAACTTTACTTAAAATCAGTCAATTAAGTAGGCATATAGATGCTGCATATAATATAATTATATAATAACATTATTGCTAATATTTATTACTGAAATGAATAGTAAGGTTTCATATGGAACTTTTAAATAAGCCCCTTTCTTCTATTAATTGAGCAAAGAGAAAAAAAATACTCTTTAGAAATTCCAATCTCTTGTAGGGAGGCAAGAAAGTAATCAATCAAGCCCTACACAGGCTGGCACCATCTTTAACTGATGTGCGTCTGAGACCCCCACAATTTACGATCCGAAGAATGTTTATACTAACATTCCTAATTTCTCTGTGAATGTCTCTGTCCAAGAGAAGAATGAACTTATATTCACCTTTTAGCACATAGACAAAATGGCCACCAGTATGCCCATAGACACATCTGTAAAATAACATGTTTAGGCCTGTGAAATTGATCCCTTTCTGCCCAATAGTTCTGACACTACAAATTATTTTCTGTAGCTGCTGGAGGAGCTATAGAATACTGTACAATGTTATGTGTGTGATAGCTCTGTGTATGTTGGGGCTACTGACATCTCATCCAAGATGGCGGCACCCAGAACATGTTTTTGGTGCCTACACACGGGAGGATTTTGCAGGTAAATAACTTCAATAAAATCCATTCAGTGACCATATAAAAAGACTTGTGTTGACCTGAGTGGTCTGGTGACAGGGTCTCCTATAGAGGACAAGGGACATAGTTGTCCAATTTGTCCAGATCAGGTGAAGATATCACGTCAATGGAAACAATTGAGATCCCAGGTGTGGAAGGATCATACCTCAGTAGGGAGCCTATATGAATTTCTGAGGCAGATAGTCCCAGTCCTGAATCCGCACTCCACACATCCAGGAGGACATGAGTCTAATATCTGCTTATCTGCATCTTACCTAGGATAAGGTGATGGGAACTCCTGATAAGAATATGTTGACATCCCCTCTTCATGCTTCCTTGTAGTAGGGTCCACTTGTTGATGAGAAAGTTCTGTGCCATAGTGCAGAACACATCAGAATCTTCCTGCTGGCTACTCAATAAAGGATTCCAGTCTGTGGCCGCCCTCTGGGCCATTTTCCATCTACATGTTAGTGTTCCTCAACGTGACCTAAAATGAGACATTTTCTGTCCCCAGTAAAATCCTGCTTGTGTACAATGATCAATGTTGCTTTGTTTGACCAGAACTGTTTCTTCTCCTAGGAGCCATGCCGATAAAGAAACCAGCAATGATCCCACAGAGGAGGAAAATGCAGCCGGAAATGAGGAAAGCGTAGAGAAAAGAGGCTGGGCCAACACACTAAAGAACGTTGCTGGTGGATTGTGTAAAATTACTGGGGCTGCTTGATTGTGAATTGGAATGCTAAACAGATGTCTAATAAAAAAGCAAAATTAATTCAAAATGGCTCCAATACATAATGTAAAAGGCTTTGAAACGTATATGAATATCTCTATCTATCTATCTAATTATCTATCTATCTATCTATCTATCTATCTATCTATCTATCTATCTATCTATCTATATTACCTTTTGGCTTATTTCTGATTTTTGCCATGTGATTCTTCTGTAATTTTGGACATCTGAGATATTTGGAGGGACACGATCAGTATTGATATTCATGGCTTTTCCAACCAACAAAACCTATGACCAAGGCTCAGCGCCAAGTCTGCAAACATCTGAGTTGCTGAAAAGTCTCTATGAAGTCATAACGGACATCTGCAGTTGACCAATGAATAAATCTGATACCAATTCCATATCTTAGATGTTATCACCATAAATGATGATGCAATAATGTAATAAATCAGACGAGCTACAGCATACATTTGGTGTCAGTGTGTGTTTTGCTTGCTTGGCAATATTAACCCTTGCCATCACGTACTCCTGGGCTAGAGCACGTGACTGTTAACGTGTCTCCGCAGCTGAGCTCCATCTTCCTAATAAATAGATTATTACAGGTTGCTAGAACCCATCTGAATAGAAAGTAAAATGGAGCCAGCGGACATACGTTCACACATGGTGTCATTTAACCAGAGACTAGAAGCTCTCACCCTTAAGATGGCCGATGTACAGGCTGAAAATCGCACCCTCAGGGCCTTTATCTCTGAGAACATGACCAATAGACCTCCCCTTCCTGAGCCCCAGGAACCCAAGATCAGTCCACCAGAGCTTTTCCAAGGGGATAGAAGGAATTACCGCTCCTTCATTTCAGCCTGTAAATTAATGTATGATATGAAACCCCGCACGTATGCTACGGAAAAAAACAAGGTGTGTACTACCATATCGTACCTCCGGGGGGAGCCTAGAGCCTGGGCTAATACATTCCTGGAAAATGAAGATCCTATCTTGCATTCGTTTTCCGATTTCTGCGAGGCTATGTCCTACGACGACCCCTGCAAACAGATTTTGGCAGAATCTGACCTCCGCTCCCTGAAACAGGGCAGGAGACCGGTCGAAGACTACATAGCAGAATTCAAGAGGTGGTCCACTGAGTCTGAGTGGAATGATGTTAGTCTTCGGAACCAGTTTAGACTCGGGTTGTCGGAAACACTCAAAGACGAACTAGCTGGCGCAGAGCTGCCCACAACACTCGAAGCTCTCATAAGGCTTTCCATTTCAATTGACCGACGCATGCATCTGAGCGATCCACGGGGGTATCCTATTCTCCTCAAAGAACCACAACCAGTGAACCAGTGCTCCCTATGGAGATCGGCGCACTCCGCGGTCCCCTCTCCCAGGAAGAACGAAACCGCAGGCGTATCCTTCGCCTCTGTATGTACTGTGGGGGACCCGAACATACAGTTGACGCTTGTCCTCAGCTGAAACGGAAACCCTCGGGTGAGTTGAGGCCCTCTTTCAGACTTCTCTCTACTACCCCCCAAATGACTAACCACTGTGAACTTGATTTACTTTTACAGTGGGATCAGCAAAGAATACAGCTTAAGGCCATGATCGATACCGGAGCATGCGGAAACTTCCTTGATGAAGCTGTTGTGAAAACAAATAAAATACCCATAATCAAAAAACCAACCCCGGTGTCAGTGCGTGTTATTGATGGCAGTACTCTCGCCTCAGGTCCCATCACACATCAGACTCAGCCACTCTTTTTTTTTTGTAAATTCTTTATTTAACAAGGGTTTTTCACATTTTCCTTATACATATACAGTTCCTCAAGAGGGTCCAAATACAATCATCATATCTGGCAGCAAAGTCAGGGAGGACTTGACTTTGGTGAGGCATAGCGCCCTTAGCTGCTCTCTAAGGGAGCAAAGCTGAAAACCCACCGTGCGCTCCACCGAGGTCTTGTGACAGGATTCAAGGTGGCGAATCTGCGTCAAGAGATCGGTGATACGAGCTAGGCGCTCCTTTTTGAGTCTGGCACCCTGGGAATCTGGGCAGAGCCGAGTTCCTACTTGGGAGGAAGTGGTGGGCTATGGCCAGCAAGTGGGCAAACACTACGGGCAGGGGAATTTTAAGCGGGTGAGATGCTATCTCTCGGGTGTCAGTAACATAACTAGCGTAGGGGAGGGCCCCCAACAGGGCCTCTCCTTTTTCTAAAGGGGACATCCTAAGCATGGAGGCACAACTGCTAAGCACTGAGAATAGGAAAGTAAAATGGAACATTAACATTAACAAACATTTAACAGTAACAATGACAACCTGGCAGGCCGCTACTCCAATGTTAGTAGGAAGGATGGGGGAGTTGTCCAGGAGGGCCCATGGTAGGTGACCACTCGGACAAGCCGCGTCTAGAAGGTGCGCTCATGTCTGGTATGGGGGTGGAGGGGGTTACCTCTCACAGCCCGCGAGGCGGTCCACTACTCCTTCGAAGGCCATCCCGGAGAACTCCCACGCATCTGGGACCCTGCCCGGAACCACTGGGATGGAAGAAAGAAAAACATTAATTTTTTAAATAAACATTATGGTCATAGCAATCAATGGGAACCGTAGCCTCACAACGGTTATGTCGGTATGAGTCATATAACGCCATACTGTGCAGACCATCGAGCTGTACCCTTCACCCACCCAAAGAGTTTGTGTATTTCAGTCCCGGGCCCCCCGTCATCTTTGGGAGCAGATGGATAAGAGAGCGGGGGGTAGGGGAGGGCTAGACTCCCCCCTTGTCCGGAGGAGAGGGGGCAGCAGAGGTGGGGATCCCCCGAGTGACCAGATACGGGGGGCGGGAGTGTCTAGAGGCTCTGGTATGGCAGTCTCAGGTTAGCCAGACATACATTTCAGGAGGAGTGTAGGCAGTCAAGTGGCCCAGGTTCTCTCTATGGTGGCGGGGGTGACAACAACAGGGACTGTCCGTGCCGGGAACGTTGGGGTGCATCGGCGAGTAGGGCAGTGGAGTGGGCATCTCACCGGCGTCGCGCGGGTTAAGTGAAGGGACACATTTGTGAGATCTTCGTGTCCCGGTGCATCCCGATATCCAAGGTTCCATCAGCGGCCGGCGGCATGGGCGGCAACAGGCCCTCCAGTATAATTTCTACCAAGTCTCAGTGCGGCAGAGTAGGCCTCTTCCAGGCTCCCGCGGAGTTAGGGTTCGCTGGATGTGGGTGCAGGGCGGGATGCCCTGGGTCTGTTCCAGGATGTGCTACGCCTCCGTCTGGGTTGGGGGAGAGGACGGTGTTCCGTGTCCAGGTCCAGGCCTAGCCAGTCCGGGATCTCCACAGGCGTCACTCCGAGGAATGAAAAAAGATCCTCTAGCTGGGTTGGATGGCGCAGGATGAAGGACCGACCGTTGCGTCTCACATGCAGGCTGAAGGGGTAACCCCACGTGTAGAGGCCTCCAACACGTCTGATTTCAGCAAGAAGGGGTTGCAGTAGGCGCCGCATATGGAGCGTGCGGCGGGACAGGTCCGGTAGGAGGGTTATGTCGGCTCCATCAAAGGGGATTGGGCCCTTCTGCCACGCTTTACGCATCACGGTTTCCTTTACATCGAAAAAATGAATGCGGCACAGTACGTCTCTAGGCCGGGGGTCGCCGTCTGCTCTGGGTCCCCCCACACGGTGGACTCGGTCGATCTCCAGGATGGAATCTGGGGACCTATCCATCACAGTGTTAAGGATGGCTGTCACTGTGGGGCGGAGGTCCGCTGCACCTGTGGCCTCTGGGAGCCCCGGAGTTTAACGTTGTTTCTCCGGGACCTGTTTTCAAGGTCATCTTGAGCCAAGTATAGGGCGGAGAGATGGCGGTCATAGGACGGCCTATCCGACTCTAAGCGGTCCAGTCTGCGGGACAGGTGGGTCTGGTCATCCGTTAGGGTTGATACTCTCGACTCCAGATGGGAGACCGTCTTGTGGATGCCCGCTATGTCGCGTTTCAGCGCAGCTTCCATTTTAGTCACCAGGGCGGCCATGTCTTGCCACGTGGGCAGGGACAGGAGGATGGAGGAGATCTCGTTAGCAGAGAGGGAGGTCGACACCTCGGACGTCTGTGGTGGGGTGGGGTGAGGCGGAAAACCGGATCCTCAATTACGCTGGGTGCGGGCTGCGAGTCAGACATCCGTTGCCGTGTAGACGTTCCCGGGTTCAGAGCATGCGGTGAGTCTGGGGTATCTCGAGGTTGGCGCGGAGGTGTAGGCCCCTGAGGCTTACCCTGTGTCTCTGACGCCATGGCCGGCCGAGGGGTGTTGCGGGTCGACGGCGCTTGGCCCGATAAGTAGCGCTGCAGGGATGTCAGGGAGTGCCGGCTGTTATTAGACCTGGATTTCCTCTTCTGCGACATTAAGAACTGGGTTGTAGGATGTCTCGGCCTTCTGAATAATGCCTGGAGATAGCAGAGCTCTAGCAATGTGCTTCCTCACGCCGCCATCGCCAAGCCACGCCCCTGACTCAGCCACTCTTGATGGTGATCCAAGGGGATCACGTTGAGTGCGTTACCTTCGCCGCACTTCCCTGTAGTCCTTGGACTACCGTGGCTGCGTTTACACCAACACTCTTTTGAATGGAACACTCTTTCCCTTACTCTTAACTCCCGGTTTTGTCAAGAAACCTGTCGGATATCTGTGCCCATAATGTCACTAAACGAACCTCGTTTAGAGATGACAAAGTCTGTACCATTGTCTTATCAGGACTTCGCCGACGTATTCAGCACGAAAAATGCGGAGTCGCTCCCTCCGCATAGACCCTACGACTGTCCCATAGACTTACTACCAAATTGCAAAATACCCTCAGGGAGGATCTACCCCCTCTCGGAACCCGAGCTATCCCACCTCAAGGCCTACCTTGCCGACAACTTGAGAAAGGGGTTCATCAGACCCTCCTCATCACCTGCTTCCTCAGGTATGTTCTTTGTGAGGAACAAAGATCTCTCTTTACGTCCCATCATCGACTACAGGGAGCTGAATCGAGTCACCATTAAGAACCGGTACTCTCTTCCCCTCATTCCTGAACTACTGGAAATACTCCAGTCGGCCGCTATCTTCACTAAGTTGGACTTAAAGGGGGCCTACAACCTGATTCGAATTAGAGCAGGAGACGAGTGGAAAACAGCTTTCCGGACTAGGTATGGTCTGTACGAGTACTTTGTGATGCCTTTTGGTCTCTGTAATGCCCCAGCCACGTTCCAGTTCTTCATAAATGACATCTTTCGGGATCTGTTGGACGTGTGCGTGGTTGTATATTTAGACGACATTCTGATCTACTCAAATAATCTTGCAAAACATCGTAAACATGTTCGCTGGGTGCTAGCCAGGTTCAGGATCCATGATCTCTATGCCAAGCTAGAGAAATGTACTTTTGAAGTCTCTTCTATACGTTTTCTCGGTTATATAGTCTCCCCAGACGGTATCGAGATGGATTCAGAGAAGATCAACGCAGTCCTGAACTGGCCTACTCCTCGCACTCGGAAAGCCGTGCAACGCTTCCTGGGGTTTGCAAACTTCTATCGGAAGTTTATACGTGGGTTCTCGGCTCTCGCTAAACCCCTGACACAACTGACGAGGACGACTACTTGATTCCACTGGAGTCCTCAGGCTCAAACAGCTTTCAAAGATCTGAAGGATCAATTCACCAAGGCTCCTATCCTAAGACTCCCCGACCCTCAGATGCAGTACGTTCTGGAGGTCGACGCCTCTCAATTGGCCATTGGGGCTATACTATCCCAGAAGGAATCTGTGCTTCTCCCGCTACACCCTGTAGCGTTTTACTCTCGATCATTAACACCCGCGGAGATCAACTACCCCGTAGGGGAAAAAGAGCTCTTAGCCATCAAGGCTGCCCTGGAAAACTGGAGGCATCTCTTGGAGGGTTCCCTTCATCCAATCCTTATCTACACGGATCACCAAAACCTCTAGTACATTCAGAAAAGCAAGACCCTGTCCGCAAGACAGGTTCGCTGGCCATTTTTCTTCGAACGTTTCAATTTCTTCATTACTTACAGGCCAGGAACTAGAAATGGGAAGGCAGATTCTCTCTCTCGGAAGGATGAAACGCCTAACTTGGCCCCTCCACAGACTCACATCATCCCTCAGGAAAAGTTTCTCAACGCCACTTTCTCCCTGAAGGACCAGTTGAAAGAGGCCCTAGCAACCGAACCGAACCTCCCCGAGGTACAAAAGGATAACGGAGGGTTCTGGTACAAGGAAAACAGACTCTCTGTACCGCCTGCCCTACAACCGAGGTTCCTGAAAGTCTGTCATGATAACCCCTTAGCCGGGCATCCCGGAATTACAAGGACTCTCGAATTGCTCAGCCGACACTTTTGGTGGCCACGCATGAAGGAGACAGTCCAGAGTTACGTGTCAGGTGTCATGTGACACCTGTGCTCGTGCCAAACATGTGGTTCGGGCCCCCTATGGTCTCTTGATGAGTCTCCCCATTCCGGAAAAACCATGGCAGACGGCGTCCTTGGATTTCATCGTGGATCTTCCACCATCTGCCGCTCCTAGCACCATACTCGTGGCTGTGGATCTGCTGACTAAGATGGCTCACTTCATCCCCCTGAAAAAGTTACCCACTTCATCTGAGACGGCAGATGCCCTCATGTCTTCAAGCTCCATGTCATCAAGCTCATCAAGCTCCATGGGGTCCCTAAGACCCTCATCTCTGATAGAGGCTCCCAGTTCATATCAAAATTCTGGAAGGCGCTCTGTTCCAGGCTCCAGATTGAACAGCGGCTGTCTAGTGCGTACCATCCCCAGACGAATGGTCAAACGGAGAGGATTAACCGCTGTCTCGAACAGTACCTGCGCTGCTACTGTTCTCATCTGCAGGATGATTGGCTCTCGCTTCTGCCCATGGCCGAATTTTCGTACAACAACTCGACGAGTGCCACCACGGGGCAGACGCCCTTTTATTCTAACTATGGTTTTCACCCATCCTTCCTCCTACCTCAGACACTCCCATCTAATAACCCTGCTACTGAGGATTATTTCGAGCGCCTCCAGTCAACAAATGCCCTCCTGAGGAGTAACATCGAAAAAACCCAAAGGCGTCAAAAGTACTTCTATGACCGTCGACGCAGGCCAGCACCTCAGTACAAGGTGGGTGATCTGGTGTGGCTCTCCACCCGTAACCTAAATCTGAGAACTCCCTCTAGGAAATTTAGTTCTCTATTCATCGGTCCATTCCCTGTCTCCTCAGTCATAAATCAGAATGCAGTCCGTCTCACCTTGCCTCCTGATCTCAGAATTCACCCCACGTTTCATGTGTCGCTACTGAAACCCCACGTCTCCAATCCGTTCCCGGATCGTGTACCTCAACCAGCAGCTCCTGTCACGGTTGATGGACAGGAGGAGTATGAGATTGAGGAGATCCTTGACTCAAGGAAGTTCAGAAATAGGCTGCAGTATCTTCTACGTTGGAAGTCTTACGGGCCCCAGGAGGACTCCTGGGAAGACGCAGCGGGAGTCCATGCTCCCGTCCTCGTCCGCAGGTTCCATGCATGCTATCCTTCGAAGCCTTCAACCCACGGAGTGGGTTCCCTTGGTGGGGGGTCCTGTAATGGATCCCGGGGACGCCGCCGTTCCGAGTCACGGAACCGAGTGGAAGCTTCGCCCCTGGGCCGACGACGTCAGGCAAGACCGCCCCCGGCCTCATCATAAGCCGCGACCACACAACTGTCTGGCGTTCCAGCAACCCTATGCGGACGCCAGACGAGTGCCGGTCTCCCTGCCTCCAGCTACTTCCACCACAATCTTGCGGAACATCAACCACCCGACAGCTGACCCCCAGCTGGCAACCTACCTTGGGCTCTCTGTGCTAGCGTGGCCAGGAAGAAACCAACCCAAACTTCAGGACACCTAAACCGCAAGTATTCCCCTCTGGGCTGCTACCCACAGGGGATTCAACTGTCTGCTATAGTTTATCCTGGATTCGTATGTACTGTTACATTGAAGATAAGGGGAACCTGCCCTCTGCTGGTGACTAAAGATATTGTCTTCACTACTGTGATTATACTCATTCTGCAGACCACTTGTTGCAAACCTGCTTCAAAGAACTGTGATACTACGTGTTTAACATATGTGAAGTAAACATATATGTTGTTACACAAACAACAAAGTCCTTCCATATATAACTGATTGGGATACCAAAGTATTGGGGTTGTGTGAATAGAACATAATCACCAAAGAAGTGCATTGCTGTGTGAAGTAACATTAGTAAGCCTATCTCTCCCGCAATTGTCCCTAAAGACCAATCCTTATTGCCGCATTCCGCATTAATACCAATTACTGTAGGTGTAGCAAGCTTAGTTAGGTTGGAAGATAGACCGATGATGCACTGAGCTTGCTTGGCAATATTAACCCTTGCCATCACGTACTCCTGGGCTAGAGCACGTGACTGTTAACGTGTCTCCGCAGCTGAGCTCCATCTTCCTATTAAATAGATTATTACAACAAGCCTGAAGTGAATAGCCGAACAACGGCAGCTTTGTGAATAACCCCCTAAATCTAACTTAGATTGTTTGGGTCATCAGAGAAGCCAGCTGTGTATATCAATGCTGGAAACCATGGTGTTCATCCCTGCAGGAGGTATGTCAAGTGGGGTCATAAATAGAGATACAATCTCATGGAAAGGAGGTCACGCATAGCTCCCTGTGGTATTTTATGGGGGTTATATGCACAAAGGAAACCCCCTCAAGATATCCTGCAGTGCATCTAAATGTGGCTGTACATCACCTAAGGATCAAAGGGCAAGATGCTGACCTAGAGGGCTTCTGGGAAAATGGGTGTCGAAGTACTTGTATAAATGGATCGTGTGTATTATAAAAGACAGCGCCCAGCCATATTGCGCTCTCTGAGCCCTGGCAAGACATAGAACCAGAAGAAGGACTTGCTACGTAATGTATTGTCTTTGTCTCATTCTCTTATTGTCTTACTGATAATATACATTTGTTTCTATTTTTATAATTTTAGTCTCTCTCCCCCGTGCCCTGTCTGGGGAGGGTTGCTATGGACTGTCTTATCTGGCTAGGCCTGAAGCCTAGGAGACCAAGCCATGCCCTCACACCGAGTCAGGTCTACCCAAAGAACTTCTTCAACACCTTTTGCTTCCCCCCACCGGCGGCCAAGTCCGTGCGGCCAGCTGTCCCCGAACACTGTGCCCAGCTGCTCACTCCCCTCCAGCAGCAGACGTCCATTGCGGCCTCATTCCCAGGACTGACCCACGTCAGTACACAGACTCCCTGCAGACGCAGCTCCACTGTTCTGCAGTCTGGAAGCTTACACCATTCTCACCCCTCCACACCAGAGGACATTGAGCCCAGAGACAGCAGGCCCTGAACAGCCCTAGGCTGCCACACTCCGGCAGCTCCTCTGCCTCTCCTCCTCCCAACTGTGTCTCCCAGCAACAAGGACGCCACAGCTCAAGCTTTGAACTGCCCCCAGCCTGGATATCGCAACAGAGAATTCGTCTCCTCTCCAGCTTTCAAGTTTATACAATTGCTGACATCACACCTGCGTCAACCCCACGATCATCAGGAACTTCATCACCACCGTCGCCGATGACAACGCATCCTTCCTTACTCAATGGTGAGTCGCTACACACCACACTGTGTTTCCATCAATTGTGATTTCTCACCTCTCGTTTCTACCCCTTGTATCTCCCGGTGATCCCCAAATTACCCGTACCATGAAGGTGCACACCCGCCTGTCCCCCCATCACCATCAAGTGAGTCGGACCACCCCCACAACCAACCAAACTCTACAGCCCGGCCCACCTCAATCTCTTCGCGGTAGTAGCGCTTCCCTTTTGGTTTTTTACACATGTTGGACACTCCGGTCTGTACTATCAGGAAGCCGCACACCAACACCACCCCTCACCCATAATCTTATAGACACTTGTGCATGGATTCTCCCTTCGGAGTGCTAGTCTTCTGGACTGCCCTCACAATTTTTCATTTCCTGAATGGACTAGTAGCTCTCAATGCAAGTACTGCATAGCCAGGAGCTCAAGACACACGTCACTACATTTGGCTAAAGGTCCTCTGTGATGACAGTAAGTACTTTCTTCTACAATTTAGAGGAGTCTACACCACCCTGGATGTTCTGAGCTCTAACTCTCTCTACTTAAGTTCTACAATAAAGTTCTTCAGCACTATATCTACAGTCTGGATCTCAGTTTTATCGGTCACGAACAGAAAGAGGCGGTAAGTACTATTGGGGGAACTATGCTGTTAGAATCCCTAGACAGGCTATGGAAGACCCATTTATCCGTTGGGGGTAAGCTCTTCACTATGTACCTGTTTTGATTGATGGTAAAAAGACACAAAGCTGAGTGGTCCCATCTAAGAGTGAGTGGTGTCATCTGAGAGTCAGAATTGGTTGCCCCCCAATTATAGTAGATTAATTGTTGAGAAAAAAGAAGAAAACCCATCACACTGTCCGGGTAATATATTTTAAGTGCAGGTGCAAAACCAGCTCCCCAATAACCCGTGGGCTCAAATTATGATGAAATATCGCGATATTGGAGATCAACACACACAGACACCAAATGTATGCTGTAGCTCGTCTGATTTATTACATTATTGCAGCATCATTTACAGTAATAACACCTAAGATATGGAATTGGTATCAGATGTATTAATTGGTCAACTGCATTCTATTTTTATAATTTTAGTCTCTCTCCCCCGTGCCCTGTCTGGGGAGGGTTGCTATGGACTGTCTTATCTGGCTAGGCCTGAAGCCTAGGAGACCAAGCCATGCCCTCACACCGAGTCAGGTCTACCCAAAGAACTTCTTCAACACCTTTTGCTTCCCCCCACCGGCGGCCAAGTCCGTGCGGCCAGCTGTCCCCGAACACTGTGCCCAGCTGCTCACTCCCCTCCAGCAGCAGACGTCCATTGCGGCCTCATTCCCAGGACTGACCCACGTCAGTACACAGACTCCCTGCAGACGCAGCTCCACTGTTCTGCAGTCTGGAAGCTTACACCATTCTCACCCCTCCACACCAGAGGACATTGAGCCCAGAGACAGCAGGCCCTGAACAGCCCTAGGCTGCCACACTCCGGCAGCTCCTCTGCCTCTCCTCCTCCCAACTGTGTCTCCCAGCAACAAGGACGCCACAGCTCAAGCTTTGAACTGCCCCCAGCCTGGATATCGCAACAGAGAATTCGTCTCCTCTCCAGCTTTCAAGTTTATACAATTGCTGACATCACACCTGCGTCAACCCCACGATCATCAGGAACTTCATCACCACCGTCGCCGATGACAACGCATCCTTCCTTACTCAATGGTGAGTCGCTACACACCACACTGTGTTTCCATCAATTGTGATTTCTCACCTCTCGTTTCTACCCCTTGTATCTCCCGGTGATCCCCAAATTACCCGTACCATGAAGGTGCACACCCGCCTGTCCCCCCATCACCATCAAGTGAGTCGGACCACCCCCACAACCAACCAAACTCTACAGCCCGGCCCACCTCAATCTCTTCGCGGTAGTAGCGCTTCCCTTTTGGTTTTTTACACATGTTGGACACTCCGGTCTGTACTATCAGGAAGCCGCACACCAACACCACCCCTCACCCATAATCTTATAGACACTTGTGCATGGATTCTCCCTTCGGAGTGCTAGTCTTCTGGACTGCCCTCACAATTTTTCATTTCCTGAATGGACTAGTAGCTCTCAATGCAAGTACTGCATAGCCAGGAGCTCAAGACACACGTCACTACATTTGGCTAAAGGTCCTCTGTGATGACAGTAAGTACTTTCTTCTACAATTTAGAGGAGTCTACACCACCCTGGATGTTCTGAGCTCTAACTCTCTCTACTTAAGTTCTACAATAAAGTTCTTCAGCACTATATCTACAGTCTGGATCTCAGTTTTATCGGTCACGAACAGAAAGAGGCGGTAAGTACTATTGGGGGAACTATGCTGTTAGAATCCCTAGACAGGCTATGGAAGACCCATTTATCCGTTGGGGGTAAGCTCTTCACTATGTACCTGTTTTGATTGATGGTAAAAAGACACAAAGCTGAG